TGTTCTTTTTAGGGATTTTTCTTAATGTTCTTTATAAGAATTTTTCTAGAAGATATATTTTTCAGAATTTCTCATTGTCTGGAGTATTTGTACTTCTTGGAGACAAAGGCAATGACTCAGATCTTCCTACAAAAGTTGAGGCTAGCAAAGACTAATAACACTTTAGGTTCTATATTCTAAAAGAAAAAAAAAAAAAATTCCAGACTTCCTTGCAAGATTTATGAAGAGACTGGAGACCTGCCAGATATAAACATAATTAGTAGATTTGTAATGTATACACAGTAATAGTAAAGATAACAAGCTCTGTTTCAAGCACTTCCTGTATTAACTCAGTCAATCCTCATAATCCGAAGAGATGAGTGGCAGCATAATTTTTCCAAATCCACACAAGTGTCAACCTACAGAATCATCAAAATCAGGTCATTTGGCCAAAGGAATTAGGCTTAGTTGTCTCAAGTGATTTCAGTATTGCAGCAAAGATCCATTTACCCCCTTCTTTTGTATCTATTGCAACCTTTTTAGTTTCTATCAGTAAGCAGCTTATCACTCTCTTCCCAGGATATATCATCCTTACATACTTATTAAAATATTGTGCCTACAAAATGCCCTGAAGAGAGAACATCCTCTCCATAGCTTACAAGGTCAGGTGAGAGCAGTGGAAGGCCATTAGATTATACTCTTCACCTGTCTTTCCTTAATTATGAGAGGAAAACCACACAGTTTTCAATTTTTACCAAGATTTGGCAGCCCCCAGGTGCCAATATACATGAAAGAACCACTAGCAATACACTTAGCATAACTTTCACAAATAGTAAAAAGTAGCTTTAGCCCTGGCCTATGGGTCAAGGGTTCCATTCTTGGTCAAGGGTTGCAGGTTTGATACCAACAAGGTGGGGTCTCCATTGGGGCCCTGCAGGAGGCAACCAGTCAATGTGAGACACATCGATGTTTCTCTCTTCCTCTCCCTTCCTTCCACTCTATCTAAAAAGCAATGAAACACAATCAGAACAGCAAAGAGAAAAAGGAATCAAAACAAATGAAGATAGTATAAGGAACTTCGGGTGAGGATTAACAACAAAAAAGTAGCTTTAGAAGTTACTTTCTAGCTTTTTTGTTCTGAACAAAAGACACGTTTCTCTAGGTAAGTTGACTAAATTAAAATCTGACATAAGTCCGGCCAGTGTAGCTCAGTGGTTGAGCATTGACCCATGCACCAAGAGGTTACCGGTTTGATTCCAGGTTGGGACACATGCCTGGATTGTGGGCCAGATCGCCAGTGGAAGGCATGCAGGAGGCGGCCAATCGATGTTCTCTCTCATCAATGTTTTTAAAATCTCAAAACAATGTTGAGCAAAAGTCATCAGATATAATTTTTATTGGATGCTTCCATTTTATAAAGTATAAAAGCAGGCAAAAATCTGTGGTATTAGAAGTTAGTGGTGGCAACTTATGACTGGAAGTAGGAACAAGGGGACTTAAGAAATTCTGGTAATGTTTTTTCCTGATCTCAGCTGATTATAAAGGCTATTGCTATTGTTCACTTGGTGCACGTTCGGTATCAAGTACCAGTAATTTGCCCATTTAGATAAATATGAATTTTCCTCCCTCACATCTCAAGTATTTTATTCTCCATAATCTCCTCAGAATGGTTCTAATTCTCCTGATTATCAATTTCCTCAATATTTGCCCTGCTCATCTTAAATTCTGCAACAAGATCTCCTTCACCATCACACTCTGTTAAGAATCCTATTACAGCTCTGGCTGGTTTGGCTCAGTGATTAGAGCAGGTACCCTGGGTTGTAGGTTTGATCCCTGGGCCCAGTAGGGGTCATTTGGGAGGCAGCCAATTGGTGTCTCTCACATCAATGTTTCTTTCTCTCTCTCTCTCTCCCCCTTCCTTCTTCCCTCCACTTTATCTAAAAATCAATGGAAAAATATCAAGTGAGGATTAACAAAAATAAATTATTTTAAAAAAAGAATCCTATTATATAGGAAATTGTATGGTACAGTTTAATGCAAGTTTTTCAATCTGGTACATAATGGAATACATATTTATCTTCCTCATTTCAGGAAATGAGCAGCAATTGTCACCTCTCTCAGCCCCAGGATGAGATTCATTGCTGTTGGAGTGGGTAGATGCAGGCTGTAACATCCATTTTCTTGAGGTCCCCCTGTGTTCTTTTAACTTATTAATGTAACTCATTCCCATTTCTCATCTTTTTTTCAACTTTTACTGCATAATAAAATTACACTGCACACTAAGTTGTATCATGGAATGAGTATTTCATACTCCTGAGTTTTAAACTACACGTAATTACATGTTTTCCAGGTTACAACTGTTTTACAAAGGCTAAAATGTCACCACCTCCACAAAGGGTTTATTCTTCGAGTAGCAGCCCTAAGGAGTTGCTATAAAGATTATATGATTCACTAAAGAGCTTATTTATTGAGCAGCCCAACAAGTATATGACATTGTATTCGGTAATATATTCTTATAGCCCTGATATCTTCCTTAAGGGAAACTTCTCCATATAAAAGTATTCATTATTAACCAGTTAACTATCTGCCTGGTTGCTAACAGGGTTTGAAAATCTTGCTGCATGAATACTTAATAAAATAAAATACTTATAAGTTGATTAACATTTGAAATGAAGATAAAATAGGTTTATTAAGTTAAATCTAACATATAGCATCAGCATGTGGTAGTTTTCTCCTATCCACTTCTTAAGTGCAAAATAATAGGTTATCTCCTACATCTCCCAGAGTGAATTATGAGAATTAAATGTTATCATGTTTGCCTCTAGACAAAATTTTAATTAGACACACAAGTAGGAGAAAACCACTTTTAATTGAAAAATAAAGCAATACATCTCAAATAAAACTCTGTTTAACACAAACTGTAATTTGTTGAGGAAAATTACTTTCCTAAGTGGTATTGTGAAATTTAGGTCTCAGAGTATCAATACAGTTTCCCTCCTTTATCCTAACTCAGTTAAAAGCATATTAAAAATAAGGATTTTTTTCCATGAATTTAAACAGTAAATCTGTAAAGCCTATCCTTATTTCTAATACACTGACCAGAGGAGCAGAGATTTTAAACAAACATCTCCATACTGAGGAGTTCCCAAATAGCAAATAAAGTCAGTATTTTCTTTATGAAAAAGTTTATATATGAAGGACACAGAAGACTATTAATGATATTGAACTAATCCACAAAATTTCAAAACACAATTTTCATTAAGATGATCTCTACCACAATTTTCCTTTGAAGAGGTTCTCACATCCCAAAATGATTTAACTTGACAAACTGGGAAGTATTAAACTTTTGAAAGAAAGTACTAAATTATTGCTTTAAGTTGGAAAATCTATGGTCAGAAGTCTCTTTTTAAAGAGTTAAAACAGCTATTCTTACAATTACATTCATGTAACTGCTGAGAAAATATTCAAGCACATAGTAAACATCATTCTTTTGAATGCTAGAACAAAGGCATTAGTTCATTAAGATGTATGGCTTTTTGGTGACTGTTATTACTACCCATAAATAAAGTCATTACTGTTTGACTGAAAAAGGTTTTTACAAAATTCCACTTCCAAAATTAACATTTTTATTAAACCAAGGTAAAAAAATGTTCACTGTAGAAAAGTCAACGAGGGTTTTAACAAAACCAAAATATACCTCTTTATACAATATATGTATATATTAGCAGCAACTACTTCTGAAATTTTATGTTCTTTTAGTTATTTATTTTAAAGAAAGCATAAACAATGTATATTAGTATGGAATGTCAACTAATCCACTCTGCATCTTTTATTCTGTGATTTGGGACTTCTAGTACAAATTATTTTATGAGTCTCATTAATGAATAATTAAAACAAACAAACCCAGTCTGACTAAAAAGTCATGAAACACAGTGGCTGGCAAAATGTGTCTCACTACTTCATAGTCATGCATTATCTTTAAGAACAAATGAGCACCATTTAAACAGGTAACTGAGTGTGTGTATAAACTCAATTTTTAAGGTGTAATAGCAGCCAACTAGACCACTCAGCACTTAACTGTTACTTTTTAAAAATTTTGTGAAATACAAAATGTTAAATCAGATAAACACTTAAATTCCATATTGCTTGTCTATTTTAAAAATCTTAATAGAAATTCTGTATATAACCTGATAAACTGCATGCACATATGTGTGTATATTATACATATACATCTTTAGCTTTGCTTGAATTTCTCAACTGAGATAAATAAAGCCAAACTTCTCACTTAAATATATATGTACAACATACAACTGAATCACCAACAGATAGTTTCATCTTAGCTAATGAGAAATACTGGTTATTGAAAATTCTGAAGCCAAAGTGCTGTAATTCAAGTCAATACACTTTAGGCTTATAAATCAGTCAGCCAAACAAACAAGATTTGAAATTAGCAACAGCTCACCAAAGAAATAAATTTTTCTCTTGATAGTTCCTTCTAATGAGAAAAAAAAAAGGAAGTATCTTTATATTGAGCTTTCACTCTTTAAACAGTTAAAATTATTAAAGAAATCTCACTAGTTTTCAAAAATACTAAATGTTATGTAAATGTCATGGTCTTATAGTTGAATTCTTCAGCTAGAATCTGTATTAAAATTTTTTTCCTTTGGATTGTTTCATTTAGCACTTCAAGTCTCCATTTTGCAACTCTGATAACTGGCTCAGATTTGTTAGGTTTATATCAATCACATCTTTCAGCATTTGCTACTATGTGTTACCTGTGTACAATAACATCAATAGGAGAAACTGCACCAAATTTCAAAAGCAACATAAGGAAAATTCAAGAATATGTAATCCAAAAAAGATAAAGTACAATAAGAATTCCCTTCTCGCCATTACATTAATGAAATATAATCCTTTTAATGCTTTTCAAGATAATGTTCTAACATTCACTTTTAACTTATTAATAAGAGAATGAAAATTTTAGATGGCCCACCTTTATTTTTCAATTAAAAACTAAAACAATAGACTGAATTACTTTTATTAATATACACATCAAGTTATTGAAATGGTGACTGCATGTAGTTTTCTCCTTAAAGATGGCACCTGCAGATACAAAGATGCACAGATGTCTACGGCCTTCAGATGTTTACTTGAAACGACTCTTCAACAGCAGTTTGATACTGGGTTTCCTCATCTAGCTGAAGATTCTAAAAACAAACAAACAAAAAACATTAACATATCAATACAAAAACATATTCCATTATTCAATACTTTGCCCAATATACTACACATCTTGGCAGTTTACAAGTGAAACAGTTTACATTACAACATATATCCTTTAAAATATAAGATTTAAAAATAGGAACTTCAATAAAAATTAAGTTTAATTGTAATTATTTAGGAATAATTGATAAACAACAGAGAGGCTCAGCAGAGAAAGTTGAGAGTTAAAAGTGCGTTATGATAAGTTATTAATTCAAAGTATAGTTAAGAGTAACCTATAATCATAAATATTGTGTGATCTCTAGAAAAGAAAAACAATGTCTGAAGGTAAATTCATTTTAAAGAAAATAGGCATTTATTGAATCAAAAGAGTTAAATAACAGTTTCTTAACCATCACATGAAACTAAAAACTATAGCTTAATCTTAGTTATACTACTACTATTCTTTAACTTTAAAAATTCTATTTGCTATCAATTATGGCCTACAGGTTTACTTTAGAATAAGCTTCCATTCGACAACCTCAAATCATTAAAATTACATATTTTTCTGTGCAAAGGTAAAATAATCTGCCAATTAGGTCAAAAGTGGTTTACCAAATATGTTTTTATTTTTCCAAATACAAAGTTCTTCAGACACCATAACCTTTCTTACCATGAGAATTTAAGAATAATCTACAATTACTTCATAAAATGCTAAAATTGTAAGAGTACACCTGAATTTTATATTATACATTTGAATTATTTTGAAACAATATGATTAAAATGCAAATTCCACAACACAAACATTTATCAAGAATAACTTATTTTTCCCTGGCTAGTATGGCTCAGTTGGTTGAAGTGTCGTCCTTTACAGCAAAAGGTGGTGGATTCAATTCCCAATTAGGGCACATACCCAGGTTGCAGATACAATTCCCAGTCTGGGTGGGAACAGAGGCAACTGATCAATGTTTCTCTTTCGCATCAGATCTCTCTCTCTCTCCTCTCTCTCTCTCCCCCTCCTTCTCCCTCCCTCTTTCCCTCTCCCCCTTCCTTTATCAAAATCAATTAAAAAAATAACGTAATTTCAACACTGAGGCAGAGAAAAATGTAAATTCTGTTCATGCCATTGTCAGAATTGCACATGCCTGTGTTTACCTAATCTTGAAAATAAGTATTAGCTATCCTTTGTCAGAATTAATTTTAAATTAGATAATGTTTTAATTCACTAAAATGAATAAGATGCAAAGTCACATCTAATATATTTTTTAAATTATCATGACACATTTGGGAGGCAAAAATTAACCCCATGTTTTGCTTTGGGGATCCATTTGCACATTATGAAACTTTCCTCACTCACCCTGTGAAAGCAGTCAACTAAGGCCAAAATCTACCATTCAACCTTGCTTTACTTGTTAATTAAGCTCCCCCATTTTTAAAAATGTGTCTCACATGCTAGATATATCTATTATAATGGGTTTAACAAGCAACTCACGCTACATGAAAAATACATCCTCCTTTATCTAGTGTACCAATTCTACTTTAGCAATTTTTCCTTACACAGTTTCATATAAATCACTTTGTTGATCTGAGGATTCACTCTTCCTCAACTGTTTCTCTAGTACAGGAGGTGGACAGTATATTGAACTTTTTACCACTTCCACAAACAAATATTCACCTATATTATTATAAAAACAATAGAACTTGCTCTGTAACCATCCAATATGATACAAAATAGCTTGCCTCAAAACTCAAGTCTAGATTTTTAAAAATTAATTTAACTTGAATACTTAAACAGTATTTTCTTAGTCTTAAAGAATTCACTTACCACAAATTCACCATAATCAAACTGATGTCTTTGATTTAGATGACTAACGAAATTTCTAGTAATCTGGCTAGGATCTCCCCAAGGAAGAGACACACAAATAGGACATGTCTATGAAAAACAATATTTTAAATAAAAAAAACAATGAAAATAAAACGTTATAATTATTGAAGGTATTAAAACACAGGCTTATATAACCAAAAAATTCTACATTAAAAGCATTTCTAAGAGCCAAATTCCATGACTAGATTATCTGTCTACCAAATAACCTTAAATAAATTACACTAATCTAACACAACACAATAAAAAGATTTTATACAATCCTATTACTTAAATCTCCAATTGCACAACTGTTTCAAGAGAAACACCACATTCAGCTTTTAACAATACTAATTGTAATGTTAGTTATCATTAACCAGTATGTATTCTCATTTGAGCCACACAATAACTGTGATATAATTATTATAAGTTTTATTTCATTTATAAGTAAAATGAAAGTGTAGTAAACTTTAAATTGTATCCTTAAGGTTTTAAATGAAGTACGTCTTAAAAAATGAATGTATGACATACTGAAATGAAATTTTAAAAACTTTAGTAATTGAGCTCTAGCCAAAGTCGATGCTCTACTGAACATAACATAAAAACAAATAAAAATTTGCTAATACAATATAAAACAAATAAAATCTCTTAAATATAAGGTTTTTCCTAGAGACAGCTTTGGCATATATCTGTTTATTTAACAGTAACTGACCCTGACCTAATGAGCACAGTTGGTGCTGTCTCCCTTAGTGCTATGAGTGAGTTTAAGGGCATCCTGAACAGTTACTGAGGCATATTCACTCACATTTTTTCCTAGTACCTCCACTAAGATTGCTTAGAAATATCTACAATCCTTATTTTATTTATAACATTTCCTTCTATTCTTACTTCTGAAGAACATATTTATATATCAAAATGCACAGATAAAAGGGAAGTATCTTCTAGCTCAGTTTCTCCTATTTCACCCACAACTAAAATCACTTACAGGTGAAACTCAAGCTCCAAATGAGGAGTTGTAAGATCATTAACACAATGTTGGACTCCTGCACTCTGCACTATCTCCTTCATTTATCAAAAAGATCTCACCACTTTCTTACATACCCTAAAAATGGTATAAAAAATATATATATACATCAAAAAGAAAGTAGGATTCCTTTCCTTCCTTGCTGTATGAATTCATATACTAGACTCTACAAAGATACAAATTTAAAATACCTAGTAACTTTATTCTTACTTATAGTTTTCACCTATCCACCTGACCAGATCAAAGTGACTACATCTGATGGATCAAGAAATTGAGAAGCCCCAATGGAGCTAGGTCTTGCCATTCCTCAGTAATGAGTCCCCCGTTCACCTTTCATTACTTCATTTTTCTCTAGACTATTTTCCTATATTACCTTCAAAATAATCATCTCCCTTTTATAAGTTACTGAAATCTCATTTTGCTTAAAATCTTTCATCTTTTGTTGACAAAAATCTACCTTATTGATAACGCCCCTATCACATTTAACACTAACTTATCTGTTGTACACATGAAATGAAATAAATGGAACAGCATACTTTAAGCAGAAGATTGTCTTAAACATATGTACTTACCACAGGAACTATCTGAAATAGGTGATTACTGTTACAGTGATCCAGTAAACGCTGTCTGGTAAAATTTGATTCTTGACACAAGGGACACTTAAAGGTGGGATGCCCAGAGGAACTATAAAGCAAGTTTAAAAGAAGTATACTTAATTTGAAATCACAGCATAGAAATAATGTTCTCCTGTTTTTTAACCAATTACTTTAAGGTTCTTTTTTAAAAAGCTGTAGTATTAGACTATTCAAAGATTCTCTAATTTTCAAATAAAACAATGTTTTCAATAAATAATCTACAACAGATGTTCCTAATCTCAGTCTGTATTATTGGTAATATCTTAGTAAATTTTCCATGGTGCCTCTAGGCCAAAACAAAAACAAACCTATAGCTGTTCCAAAGATTAAGTGATTAGGTTCAAACAACTTAATTTAGTCATTTGTGTGAGGCCAAAGGATGTCACTGTATGTACCTTAAAAATTTTAAATAGAAATCTCTATCTAGGAACTTAATTTTGAAAAGATTTTCGTCAGTATCTTTCATTTGTCCAAGTCTCTGGGAATCTAACATACAAAATTCCTAGGGAAAAAAATGAAAAACAAAAAGACACTGATGACCAGAATGATGAGTATTTCAAAAAATTTTAAGGATCATGCTTCACTGTGTTTTAATACCTCTGAATTTCAGCAAGGGACAGTTCAATATTGACAACTCTGTCTAAATTATGCATGGAAGAAACCTAACCACAGTGAAAGAGGATAGCTAAAAACTCTTCTAATTTAATGTAATCTTTAATCTGTAAAATGTGATCTGTAAAAGCAACAACTGCATCATTTATTTCTAAACTACTAAGTTCCAGCATAATGTCTGGTGATTTAACTAAATAAAAATTTTTATTTAAAAATCTATTATAAAGAAATAGATATTATTTAATAAAGTAGAATTTTCAAAAGCTTACCTTGTATTCTCTTGATAAGTTTCTATGTTATCAGATGTGGATGTTTCACTTCTATTACTTAAGAAAAATAGGGGGGGCTAAAGTTAAAACCTCAAGTAATAAAGCACATTACAGATTCATTAACTTGCATTGCTAATGAAGAAAAGTAGTCCGATTTTGTTTTAAAGGGCTGAACTTCAAATTGTTCTAAACACCAGAAAATTCAGAAAAGACTGCTTGTGTATTTATTTATGTCATTAAAAATTAATTTATGTAGTTACAAAAGAATAGAGAATACAGAATTTTGCAAAATTACCTTAAATCTCTACAACATGAAAGAAAACATTACCCCAGGTCCTTTAGACTTTTTTTTTTAATCCTCACCCAAGGATACTTTTTTCTATTTTATCTTCAGATAGAGTGGGTGAGAGAGACAGAGAGAGAGAGAGTGCATAACATCGATGTGAGAAAGATACAGCAATTGGTTGCCTCCCGCATGACCCCCTACCAGGGCCAGGGACTGATCCACAACCAAAGTACATGCCCTTGACCAGAATCAAACCTGCAACTCCTTGGTCCGTGGTCCGATGCTCTACTGCTGAGCCAAACCAGCCAGGGCTAGACTTTAAAATTAGGACCACCTCTACCACTATACAAGTTGAAAGCTGGGGTAGACTCAAGAATTCATGAACTTTTTGATTTGTAATTAGGATATGGTCTAAGGTTGTGGCCTCCAAACTAGAGTAGGTTTAAAAAAATATCTGAACTTGGCCAGTGGGGCTCAGTGGTTGAGCGTCCGACCCATGCACCAAGGGGTTCTGGTTCGATTCCTGGGCAGAGTACATGCCCAGGTTGTGGGCCCAATCCCTAGCGGGAGGCATGTATGAGGCAGCCAACTGATGTTCTCTCTCATTGATGTTTCTCTCTCTCTCTCCCTCCTTCCTTCTTCTCTCTCTAAAATCAATAAAGGAAAAAAAATTTTTTAAGAAAATATTTAAATGTTCATTTTCTAAAAATAAACTAGGCTCTCCAACATTTAATACATAGAAAAACTGTACATCCTCATTGAGATCCCATGCTAAAGACATGTGTCATATGCAGTATTAGAGAAATCCTGAGGGAAGAGTGGGAATTCCATAAAGGGACATGACAGAATTTCATCAGTATGATCAATTCTATAAAAACAAGATCTTTCAGTAGCAGAAATGTTAAAATAGTAATGAGATAGCTAGTGAACAAAAACAAAACAAAACTGTACTACAAAGGTTTAAAGAGTTGTTAAACTGCCCCGCCACTGTGGCTCAGTGGTTGAGCATCAACCCATGCCAATAGGTCTCCGATTTAACTTCCCATCAGGGCACAGGACTGGGTTGCAGGTTCGATCCCCAGCAGAGGGAGTGCAGGAGGCAGCTGGCTGATGTCTCTTCCATAGATGTTTCTATCTCTCTCTGTCCCCCTCTCCCTTCCTCTATTTCTAAAAAAATCAATGGAAAAAAATCCTTGGGTGAAGATTAACAATCAATCAATCAATCAATGTTACAACAGCTTTTACTACTGAGATAGGTATACATAAATATCACTTTAAAAATTTGCCTAACCATGCCTTAGCAGTTTGGCTCAGCACTTAGAGCGTCCAGGGACCAAAGGGTCATAGTTTTGATTCCCCATCAAGGGCATGTTCCTGGGTTGCAGGTTTGATCCCCAGTCCTGGCCGGGGTCTAGCAAGAAGCAACCAATCAATGTGTTTCTCTACTCACATGGATGCTTCCCTCCCTCTCTCTCCCTCTCTTCCTTCATTTTTACTTAGGAGAGAATACTGCAAACTGTATTCTAAGAAAACACAGGCTCTACTTTGAGGTGGTCCTTTGAATTTGCTACGGAGATCTTTATGAAAGTAATGAATCTTCATATGATGCCACCAAACTCTGCTCAACTACAGCTTATGGACCTGCCCTTAATCAACAATAAAAAATATATCTGCTTTCCAGTTACTTAACAAAGAGTAGAAACTTTAAATTCTTCAAAATAAAGTTTATCAAAATTTTAGCTTCTAGAAATAACCTTCCAGAGAATCGCCTGATTATATACATCTTGTCCATTTTACCACCACACCTAGATTAAGCCAGAATATCACAGAAAAGCCCCTGTGATATTTATTAAAAGCTTAATAAACTGCAATAAGGCATATGATAGCCACACTGAAGGTCTTTCAAGTACCCATCTATAACAAGAGGAAAGTTAGGAGATACTTATTTCCCAGACTCCTTTCCAGAAAACTTGCCTTGACCATCTGAATCCCTCTCCAACTGCTCTCTCCATACATACAGCTTTCTTTCTCCAAGTTCTGGTATCTACTTCCTTGTCTCCCATTTTCTGTAGACCCAGAATATATAACTATTCTTTGTGATTTCCTATAACCTTCTCACATAGTGTACCTGGTACCCTACTCTGTGAAAACAGTCCCTTTACCAAATTTTCCTAAATGACCTAATTTGAACATACTGTTTCCTCCCAAGCTCCTCAATATATTCTAGCTTCTTATATTTCCTACCATTAGAAAAAAATTTTTGATTGATTTTTAAAAAGAGAGGAAGGGAGAAAAGGGCGGAGCCAGAGATAGAAAGAGAAACATCGATTTGTTGTTCCACTTATTTATGCATTCATTGGTTGATTATTGTATGAGCCCTGACCCCAGTGATCAAACCCACAACCTTGATATATCAGGATGATGCTCTAACCAACTGAGCTACCTGGCCAGGGCCCCTACCATTTAAAAAAAAAAAAACTTCTTTTCCTTCCTTCACCAATATCCTTACAAAAAATTCAAATACAAGCGAAATTTTTCCATTGCAATTAGAATTTTGCATAGGATATAAATATGAATAACCACTTTCCAGATTTAAAAAAAAAGACATACATAAACATATAAAATAAATGTAAACATATAAATATAAAGTATTAAAGGGTCTAGTTGGAGCATAAGAACAGTTCTATGAACAGCAAGAAATTCTAGAGGCCAGGAAAGACTTCAGAGTAGCTAACACTTGGTCTAAGTCTTCAAATAGAAGAAAAAGTCTACCAGCTGGCAAAGGGTGGACTGAGGTGGTGGGGAAAGGGAGCACTACTGGTAAAAGTATAGAGGTAAGAGAGTGATTATGATGATAATGATGACGATTAAAAACTAACATTTACCAAAGAAGGTACTATTCAATATGCTTTACATGTATTAACCTATTTATTGACTCCTAACCCATGAGGTGCTATAGTATCTTCACTTCCATCCACTTTTTAAAAAACAAATGAGAAAGAAGAGGTGCAATTTCTTGCCAAAGTCATATAATTAGTAAGTGACAGAGCCTGGGACCTAAGCAGTCTGGCGCCAAAGCCTTCTTTTTTTAAAAAATATTTTTTTAATCATCACCTGAGGATATGTTTTTGTTTTGTTTTGTTTTGTTTTTTTGGTTTTTTTTAGAGGGAGAGGGGAAGGGAGAGAGAGAGGGGGTAAAGGAGAGAGAAAGAGAAAGAGAAAGAAACATCAATTGGTTACTTCCCATAGTAACCCCGACCAGGGATCGAACCTACAAACTTTCAGTGTACAGGACCACACTCCAACCAACTGAGCCACATGGGTTAGGGCCAAAGCCTTCATTTTTAACCACTAAATTATATTGCTCCTTGAGGATAGTAAGAGTAGAATGCAAATAACTCAGCATGTGTTACAAAGATGGGAAGCCAAGAAAGGTAAAGGCTAAAAAGAAATGCAAGTGTCAAATCAGAAAGGGCTTTAGAATAAGAAAGTTTGTCTTACAAGCCAAGTTGTTGGATTTAGATCATGGAACACCTTGAAAATCTTGACATCTCTCTCTAGGAAAATGCATATTTTTGTTTATAAACAAAAATTTAGCAGCTCAGGTAATTTAGAGCTCTTAATGACCCATGGGACTTTGGATGAGAAACAATGTTATGGGGCCATGGGAAGTCATTGACAAGGATTAGGGAGAAAGGTACAAAGACAGGGAGAAAAAGATCAGAACTGCACTTCTGAAATATCACTTTAGCAAGAGTATATAGGATAGATTACAGGAGGTCCACTACCGAAATGATTATTGCAATAAATAGTTTAAGTGAGAGATGATGAGGGCTTCAGCTAGAGAAGTGACAATAAAAATAGAAAGAAAAAGAACAGATGTGGAATACTACTATTAGGAATCAACAGTACCTATAACCAATTAGATCTGAGGAATAAGAAGGAAGAAGGCAAGTCTCCTGGAAGGAAAATTCATATAAATAAGTGGAACAACAATATCATGTTTCTCTCTCTCTCTCATCAATCAATAAATTTTTTTTAAGTAAAAAAAAAAAAAAAAATTTGGTCATTTAGCATGCAGTAATTACACAAATCATATGTATTAGGAACTTTGCTAAGAACTGGAGATACAATGTTGAACAAGACAAATACTACCCCTGAACTTAAGAATAATCTATTGAGTTAATAATAAATGGTTGAGTAATTTCAATACAGGAGTACAATAATAAAGCAAGCAATAAGGGATGAAGGAATCAAAGGGGATTTTTAAAAAATCACAAAATCACCCTGGTCAGTATTGCTCAGTGGTTAGAGTGTTGGCCCTCGGACCAAAGGGTCTTGGGTTCAAATCTGGTCAAGGACACATATCTGGGTTGCGGGTTCAATCCCCAGTCCCGGTCAGGGTTGTGTAGGAGGCAACTAATGAATGTGTCTTTCTCACCCCCCCTCCCCCCCACTCCCCTGTTCCCTTCCACTCTGTCTAAAAATCAATGAAGAAAGAGGATTAACCACAACAAAAAAATCAAAGACAGAAGTGACCAATTTCCAATTTCATCCAATGACACTAAGTCAAATAAAATGAGAATGTAAAAGGATTTTGCAGACTGGGCAGTAAGAAAATTACTAAAGACCTTTATCAGAACTGAGAAGGGAAAAAGCCTGACTGCAGTGTCAGTGATTAAATTACCAAAAATTAGCAACATATGAAATGAATTGCTACTAAAATAAAATCTTAAGGGTCTCCGCTTAACATACTATTTCCTGGGGCCTTTCTATAATACTTCCTCTTCTCCCTTTCTTTACATAATTGTATGTGTGCTTGCTATTGAGTTTTTACAAATTAAACACTTCGTTGTTGAAAATACCTGCAGGGGTGGTAATACTATAAAGAAAAGGGAATGACCTGAAAGAGAGGATAATGGTTACCTCTGGGTATATGGGATTCAGATGGTCATGGGTTCAAAAGGAGATTCTAAGGTCCTAAAAATTGTTCTATTTTTTGACCTGGGTTCGTGGGCAACCAGGTATTTATCACTATTTTATAAACCACACAGGCATTCTGGCCATTCTTCTACATGAAATAAATTTCATAAAATGTCTAATGTACAGAAATCTGAGTCAAGCCAAAACCTAGTTTTTAAAAAACAGGGACTAAAATAGAACTAAGAATTTACTTTTACCATGTCTTACTTTTACATGACATTTTATTATCAGAGTAAAAATCTCAAACAACTCTATTTCTTTGGTAGCAAAAAAGAAGATTCCAGTTTGTAAATACATTACTGAAACAATTTTTTTTCTAGTTTTTAAATAATTTCAGTTGGAAAAAAAATAGCCTTCAACTCTGGTCTATTTTTTATTCCAAAAATCTCAATTTTCCTAAAATTATTTTTAAATAACATAAGCTTAAGTATATCATAAAGTTGATCTCCCAGATGTAATTTTACATGTATCAGACAAACTTCTGAATATACAAATGATATAATTCTCATATCATTTTACTTTAAAAACATAGACACACAAACAAAACACACCTTCCCTATTAATATAGTTCCCAAAACAATTTCCATTTCAACTATAAAAATTATTTTTAAGAATAAATATTGCTTACCTGTTCCCTACTGAATCTTGAGAAATCTGAAAGTTTGGAATGATAGCAGAAACACCATACTCATCTTGATACTTCTTACAAGATTTGTAATGATGTCTCATACGATAGAATTTAATCTGTAAATTATTGATTAAAATGTAATGTGACTTTTAATTTAAAATAGAACTCACAAGGTTTGAGACATTGTTGAAAGATAAAAATAGATAACTAAATATCCCATTTAAACAAGAGGTTTTTTTTGAGTAAATGATTTAATTCTCAATACACTTCTGTCCATTAGACACAGAGACAATGGAGGAGTCCATCTATCTGTAAACTCACTGCAAAAAATATTAACAAATAATTTTACACTTGAAACAATACTGCTAATAATAATAGATAAATAAAAGTACTACAAGGTTGCCTCACGGTATTGAGCATTTCTTTATTCTTTAACTACTACAACTTGGCAGAGTTAGCACTTTTAAAACATCACATTTCTCGATTAACACTTGGAAAATGTTTCAGTTTCTCAGTGAGGTACAGAGCCAAAAATCTCTCACGTGCATTTTCCAGCTTTACTTCATTGCCCTGTCAGTTAAGGCCTTCCTCAAAGAGATGGAAACACAGACCTGACTTGTGTGAATGCATGAAATAGCAACTTGTTTTACTGACTATATTAGCTGTTTGAAAAAGTGGCAGTAATAAATCCATAAACACTTGGGTATACTCAAAGCCTAACCACACTTCACCATTTCAATCCCTCTCCAAATGACAGAACAAGAAAATCCAGATTGGAGAATTAATGCCAGTTATTTGTTAATACCTGATTTTCCCACTTGTTCCATAAAACTTAAGCAAAGTCTTCTGTCAGACATTTTGTGATTTCTTAGATAAAACACATAAGTAAAGTGGGCAGCTAATGAATTTCTTAACTACAAAAATCCATTTGGACATTTCTATGTGCAAAATGCAATGATGATACTACCATCAGAAAAACTATTTAATGGTTGAATCTATACCAGAATGGGGTTTAAATGAGTTAAATGCCAGTTTGCTCATTTAGTAGATAATAAATGAGTAATTTGAGGGGAAAAAAAAAACATGATAAAAACTATGGCAAATTCAGAGATTGTATCTTTCAGTCTCTGTTCTCAATAAGTTTATAATCTATTGTCACAGCTTTTTTGGATTTGTACCCCAATTCCCAATCTAAATAATTTATTTCCCTTCAAAACAGCATCTACCAAGAATATTCAGACAGGAACTTGACTTTCAAGAGCTAAGTCACAGTTACTATACCTGTTTTGCACAGCATCTGCAGCTACCAGACAACTTCCTCATGATATTTTCAAGATCTAAGGCCCGTTCAGGACATGCTCTTTCTCTTCTTGTCACATTTCCACGACAGAGGGGACAATGTATTCCGCTTTCTCTCATTGCAGTCAGGAAACATTTTCTACAAAAACTAAATCAAACATTTGTTACATGTTAACTACAAAAAAAAAGTAGTCTTTTCATTGCTATGACTAAACACAAACAAGCGGTTAGAGATATGCATTCAGGCTAAATGAGTTAGGCTATACACATGTACATAAATCTCAGAATTTTAAAAACTGTAACTGTATGTGTATTTTTCAGAGTTTAAGACTAATCACTGGACTAGATGGGAATATAAAAGAAACTACATTCAAGTCTGCTTTATAATTTTTAACATATAATATATACAAAAATAAATATCATTTAGTAGCTATGTTATCCCACACTAGCTCTCCATTCCCTCCCCTTATAAAATGAAAGAATGGACCATAACAGCTTTTGTCTCAAATGGATGTACATCAAGATGTTGTCCAACAGGATATGAACAGATCTACTACACAACAGCACACAAATTAATCTGAAAAATTCTAGGATAAACAAAGTTAATAAGGTATCTTCTGCTAAGGAAAATATAACTGTTACCCAAACTTATGCAGTCAGGAAATAGAAAAATGTCCCACAAAAGTGTGCAATGGAAAATAATTTGAGAAATATTAAAGGACACATCTAGCTCTAACCATCTACAACCAAAATTCTAGTAATCAAAACAAATTACTAAAATTTTAATTTCACCCTGGCCGGTTTGGCTCAGCAGTTAGAGCATTGGCCTGTGGTCTGGAGAGACACAGGTTCGGTTCCTGCTAAGGGCACATACCTCGGTTGCAGTTTGTCCCCGGCCCTGGTTGGGTCATGTGGGTAGCAACCACTCGATGTGTCCCTTTCACGTCGATGTTTCTCTCTCTCCCTCCCACTCTATCTGAACAAAATATCCAAAAATGTTCTCGGGTGAGGATAACAAAAAATTTTTTTAATTTCTTCTCCCTTAATCCAACTAAATCACCAAAATCTTTACATCTCCTCTAACCCACCAAATATCAAATTTGCTTTTAGAAAAAAACAGATAGGCTTCTGGTCAAGATGACGGTGTAGGTAAATGGAGTATCGGGTCCTCCCACAACTACATCAAAGTTACAACTAAACTACAGAACAACCACCATTCAAAACTGCCTGAAATCAAGCTGAATAGAAGTCCTACAACTATGGAATTAAAGAAGCAGCCACACAGAGACTAGTAGGAGGGGTAGAGGGGCAGAGGTGCCACAGGCTGGTCCCACACCCACGTGTGGTGGAAAAAATTAGAAGGATACCTTGGCTGGGAAGGTCCTCCCCGAGGACTGAGGGGTCCCCATCCCACATCAGGCATCCAACTTAGGGTTCCAGTGCCAGGAAGAGAAGTCCCCATAACTTCTGGCTGGAAAAACCAGTGGGAACTGAGGCTGAGGGAGGCTGCAGCTTCTGGAGCCCCAGGCAGCTCCTCTTAAAGGGCCTGCCCACGGACTTACTTAGACTCCCACCCTCTAGGCTCCAGCTTGGGGAGGCAGCTTGAAAGACATCAGAGACATATGGGGAAGAACTGAGTTGTTTGGCATTGGAGCTAGGGCTGGAGAGGCAGCTTTCTCCTGGACAGATGTGCTGTCAGAGGCCTTTGTTCCTTTGGTGAGCCCTTCCCTGGGACGGCAGACAGCCGCCATATCTGGGACTCCAGCAACCTGGCTCACACTGGTAGCCCCGCCCCACCCAACTTTCATGCCCACCCAAGCTGTTGCCAGTTGCTTTACCATAGGATTGGCCTGTCTTGGATCCTGCTTCAGGTTTTCCTAAATTCTTTTAAACAAGCAGCATCTGGTCTCAGCTAGCCCCATACCTCTCATTAAGTAATACACAAAAACAAACACAGGAGGCGACCAAAATGAGGAGACAAAGAAACAGCTTCCAAATGAAAGAAGAGAAAAAAACTCCAAGAATAACTAAGCTAAAAGGAGATAAGCAACCTAACAGATGAAGAGTTCAAAACACTGCTTATAAGGATGCTCAATGAACTTAGTGAGGGCCTCAAGAGCATAAAAAAGAAGCAGTCAGAAATGAAGGATGCACAGTTAAATGAAGGAGGCACTAACTGAAATAAAGAACAATTTACACAGATTCAATAGTAGAGTAGGTAAAGCCAAGAAGCAAACCATCGATTTGTAATATAAGGAAGCAAAAAACACCCAATCAGAACAGCAAAAAGAAAAAAGAATCCCAAAAAAATGAGGATAGCATAAGGAGCCTCTGGGACAACTTCAAGAGTGCCAACATTCACATCTTGGGTGTGCCAGAAGGAGAAGAGAGAGAACAAGAAATTGAAAACCTATTTGAAACAATAATGGCAGAAAACTTCCCTAACTTGGTGAAGGAAACAGACATACAAGTCCAGGAAGCAGAGAGAGTCCCAAACAACATGAACCCCAAGAGGCCCACACTAAGACACATCATCATCAAAATGCAAAAGGTTCAAGACAAAGAGAGAATCTTAAAAGCAGCAAGAGAAAAGCAGTTAAAGTTACCTACAAGGGAGTTCCTTTAAGACTATCAGCTGATTTCTCAAAAGAAACTATGCAATCCAGAAGGGAGTGGCAAGAAATATTCAGAGTGATGAAAAGAAAGAGCCTACAACCAAGATTACTCTATCCTGCAAAGCTGTCATTTAGAATCGATGGCCATTGAAAGAGCTTCCCAGATAAGAAAAAGCTAAAGGAGTTCATCACCACCAAACCATTATTATAGGAAACGTTGAAGGGTCTTCTTGAAGAAAAAGATAAAAAATATGAACAAACAAAATGGCAATGAGTACATATCTATCGACAATTGAATCTACAAACAAAATAAGGCAGAACAGAAGCATTCTCATAGATACAGAGAACATTTTGTTGGTTGCCAGATGAAAGGGGGTTTGGGGGAATGGGTGAAAAAGATGAAGAGATTAAGAAGTACAAATTGGCCCTGGCCGGTTTGGCTCAGCGGTTAGAGCGTCGGCCTGCGGTCCGGAGAGACCCGGGTTCGGTTCTCGCTAAGGGCACGTACTTCGGTTGCAGTTTGTCCCTGGCCCTGGTTGGTCATGCGGGTGGCAGCCACTCAATGTGTCCCTTTCACATCGATGTTTCTCTCTCCCTCTCTCTCCCTCCCACTCTATCTGTAAAAAATAAAATAAAATAAAAAATAAAAAAGAAGTACAAATTGGTTGTTAGACTGACAAACCTCAAAGGGAAGGTGGGGTGGGGGTGGGAAGAGATAAACCAAAGAATTTATATGTATATAAGCATAACAGTGTGGGGACACAGACAACAGTGTGGGGAAAGGCAGGAGGGAGGCAGGAGTGGGTAGAAGGGGTCAATAGGGGAAAAACGAGGAACATTTGTAACACATTCAACAATAAAAAAATTAAAAAGAAAAAAACACCAGATAAATCACTGTCAACTATATCTGGATCTAGAGTCAACTGTATCTGGATCTAGAGTAAGTACACAATTAATCCAACCCCCTATAAATACAAATATACCGATTTCCCTCAACTATACTAACTAAATTTGAGAGGTAATAGTATAATAAAAGATCACAGAATCTGAGTTTTCTAACTATGCAGCATTGAATAAGACACGTTTCCCCTCTAAAATCAATTTCCCACCCATAACATAATGAAGTATCTATACTTGATAGCCTTTATTCAGAGAATTTAAAAAAGTAATGCAGCCCAGCCAGTGTGGCTCTGGTTGAGCGTCGACACATGCACCAAGAGTTCGCCAGTTCGATTCTTGGTCAGGGCACATGCCCAGGTCCTAGGCCAAATCCCCAGTGGGGGGCATGCAGCAGGCGGCCAATCAATGTTTTCTCTCATCAATGTTTGTATCTCTCTCTCCCTCTCCCTTCCTCTCTCTCTAAAATCAATAAAGAAAAAAAAAATTTTTTTTTAAAGTAATGAAGTAAAATGCTTATCACAGTATTTTTGACATTTAGGAAAGTACTCAATAAATGGCAATATCTCTAAAGTAGTATTAGAAGTGACTACCAATTAAAACCATAAATTAAAACATTAAAAATATTCACCAAGCCTGGCCGGTGTAACTCAGTGAATTGAGCACCCACAAACTGAGAGGCCCCGGTTCCATTCCCAGTCAGGGCACATGCCCAGGTTTTGAGCTTGATCCCCAGTGGGGGACATGCAGGAGGCAGCCGATCTATGTATCTTTCTCACTGATGTTTCTATCTCTCTCTCCCTTCCTCTCTCTCTAAAAAATAAAAAAATAAAAATAAAAAACATATTTAAAAAGGAAATTCTACACATGTATAAAAAAAAAATTCACAAAAACCAGGAGTCAAAAAACAAAACAAAACAAAACAAAAAACCTGCAGAGTGGGGAGGAGGGTGTCAATGGGGGGTAAAAGGGAGGAAATCTATAATATTTACAACAAAGATTTTTTTTTAAACCCACAAATACTGAGATACCATTTTTCAGTTGTCAAACTAAAAACTAGTTCTAAAAATAATAATAACTGGTGTTAGAGTGCTCCACATATTTGGATAGCAATTTGCCAAACTTTAAAGAAAAGGTGTCCCAAAAGTCTGAGTGCTATTTTAAGCTTTAATAACTCCAAAGGCACCCTAGCCAGTTTGACTCAACAGTTAGAGCATTGGCCATGGACCAGTGGATCTTGGGTTCAATCCCCGGTCAAGGGTACGTACCTTGGTTGCAGGCTTGATCCCCGGCCCCAGTGGGGGTCATGTGGGAGGCAACCAATCAAAGTATCTCTCTCACATCGATGTTTCTCTCTCTCCTCCCTCCCTTGTACTCCATCTAAAAAATCAATGGAAAAATATCCTTGGGTGAAGATTAACAACAACAACAAAAAAAAACTCCAAAGGTATAAATACTACAAAGTTACAAAACCATCATTTATAAGTTTAGTTCTTTAAATTAAAACTTAAAAGTTTAATTGTCAATGTTTTGTAAACTTTGAATAATAAATTTTTAATTTAAATTATTTGTTTCAGTCAGTGTTTGCATTCTCTAATCAGAGGAGTTAGAACAAAAAAACAAAACAAAACACTAA